TGGGTGTAATATTTGCAATGATGTGCTTGACGATTGTTATGCACCATCATTTTCATAAATTTCGGATACCGTAAGTCTCGTAACAAGGTGGCCAACCGCAGCTCAGAACGTGCGAAAAAATTGGCTAATATTTAATTGATCGTGTATGTTTGTATTGGTCTACATCGCGTCCGATATATGGTGTTTTATGCACGCTGCATCGATTTCTCAGCTTGGCTGCAACGCATCACCAACGAAGCAATCTGTAAAGTTGATCAGATCGGCGTGTGACTGCGGGTCACATCTCCGTGATCTGCCACCGCATGTCTGTCCGGGCATCTGGGGCTGACTCCGACATAAAGCCGATTAATCTGCAAGAATATACGCACGCTCCGATTACAACACGTGTTCCGTCGACCACGTCGCGTCGCTGCACAGGCCGGGGCACAGTGAGAGCTGTCCACTCCTCGGCTGACATCAGCCGAAACGCCCGACGACCCGGACCGCTCGCACCGCCCCATGAACTGCCGTCGTCAGCGCGCGCTGACGACAGCCGAGGCCGCGGCGCCTGCCGTCCCTGCGCCCGCAGCCGGGCCCGCGCCTCCTCCAGGAGCCGACGGCCGCCGGCTCGGGCGTGGCGACGACCGCTGGCGCTATGCTTCCTGTCGCGCGGCGGATATTACACCGCGCCGGAGCCGCACGCGGCGTCGGCACGCCGTCGCCCGGCGCCGACAGGTCATTTACGGACTGCCGAGAGCGGCGCCGGGCGGATGAGGCGGCGCCGGCCGTGACAGGCAGTATGTGTTGTCTGCCCTGATGCGTCCACTGGCGGGGCGCACCAACACGGGCGCTGTGGTGAGTTAGGAACAGTATTCAGTGCTGTCCACCTTGGTGATGCGAGAGGTGAAGCTGCAGTGGTCACGCTGAATTTGGTATGGTTGCACAGCTGAATGTGAAGCAATGCGTAATTTCCTAGTGAGCTAATCGAATGAATAGTTGGATGTGGCTGTGGATCGAAGGATAAGCGAAGTAAACACGACAGAAAAGAACTTAAAACCCCTGTCACGCTGCTCGGTTAATCACAAAAACAGCACTCGAGTTCGACGCTTGGTCGTTTTACCAGTATTTTCCCACTTATTCCAGCCATCAAACGGCGTTTCGCTTTAGCGGAGAGCGCTCATTGTTTCACTTTCTGATCGTTGACACCTGCGTTTTAGTTCCGCCACATTGCATTGGTCTGATCGGACCCGACACGGGCAGGGCGTGACGTAGATAGCACTGGCCAGTAGGTTGAGAAACAGATTGCTGTCAGCTCTGGCATCAGGGAACGTCACATTTCGAGTGCAAAACAAGACTTCCGTCTGGAGGCTGGACTGGGGCCGAGCTATTGCAAAGGTTTTGTCAGAGCTGCAGACTGTGTAGCTACTGAACCATGCTCGAACTGATGAGCAAAACAACAGCGATGGACCAAAGCTCGCTACACAAACAGTTGGAGCTGGGACAGCATTGTCTGGGGGAAATTACCGGCGGCCTGAATTCTGCTGGGGGTCGCCTGAAAGCCCGAGCCATCGCCTGTGCTATTTACGTCCACGTAGTGCAGTAGGATACGCATGCTGCCTGAGGCCATGTCGACGAGGTGGTAACAGAACCAGATCAATATTACCTTACTGGCTTCGTGCCTGGAATCTCAGGCGGGAGGTGACCGCAGCCGAGGACGACAGGTGTGACCAGGCTGGAGAGATGGCTGCAGTGACCAGATCAACGTCCTCAAATCTGGTAATAAGATTAGCGAATTCTATTTGAAGATCCGTGAATTCTCAGTCTATTTGATCTGTGCTGTTCTGCTTACACGATAGCTCGCGCACTGACGGTGGTCATGCAGCTAACCCTACATCAGAGGCGCAGCCAAGGTGCGGCGCACTTAGGCCCGGATTGTTTCGGTTTCTCCCATGGATGGATGACTCTGGACAGAAAGTAAAACACTGACGTACTGCGTAATAACCGAACTGCGGACCTCCGCTTTTGACTGCCAGCCTGCGTCTCTGTCGTAGATTATATGTCAATGTCATATAAGGTCAATTTGTTCGCTATCCCATTATGCGATGTTTAGATTATCATTGTCACTAAAAGTGTGCAAATCATATTACAGAGCGAAAGAGCAAATGTGACCATCGAATTCCTAACACGGTGCACGATGTTTCAACTTGAAAGCCTTCAGGTCAAACAGGGTTAGTGACCTGTAATTAACTTTGAGGTCACCATGCTGCTAGCGACCGAAGAAGCGAAGTTTCTGAATAATGATTTAATAAAGCCAGCAAATTAGGCTACTAGAGCGGATTTTGCCGGGGCCAAAGTGTAAGGTCAAGTTGGTTCAAAAGTCAAAGATGGCCATGGCGTGCCATTGGATGATGAGGGAATAACACCACCAGGTGAACAAACTATGAAGATCTCAGGTAAACTACAACGCAATAGTTTTGTGGAATGCGTCATGTTAATAAACATTTTGGTCAACATGCGAATATGATGATGCGAATATGATAATCTAAAGCCCAAAACCGAAAAAATCGGTTTACAGACAGCCGCATGCTCCGAGGTCACGGAACAGATATCCATGAAGCTTTCACCAGTTGATATGCTATAGTCGATATCTAATCCTTTCCAGGAGATGGGGACCTCAGGTCTGGTCAAAAGTTACCAAAAATGCCAAAAACGGGACAGACAAGACGGTTGTTTACAGACAATGCTCTTATGCTTCATGCTCCATGCTCTTAGCCAGGCGCGTAGGCAGAGCTTTGCCAAGGGGAGGGGGCACAGGGGGTGGCTTGAAAATGGCCCCCCTAACCATGGAACCCCTCCCCAAAGGAAAGCAAGATCGTCAGATATAGACTATTTGCTAATGAGGGCACGCTTTTTATATTTTCTTTCTTTATTTTCCCTACAACTGGGACAGGCCCCAGAAACTAACGATAGATAACTGCTGACTGAATTTTGTAGTCAATGAACTGAATAAAACAATACGTTAAGCGAGTGCATGAAATCAATCGGCGGTGCTCACTATTTTTCAATGGTCCAGTGGACTCTTTTTAAACCGATAGGTATCAGAAGCTTGGTCAGAATTTTTATATTATTTTATATTTTTATATTGATTCTACAGAGGTATAAGGGACCCCGCGAATGTAGATTGTAGATGGAAATGGCTAAATAATTTGTATTAACTTGGCCAAGCCACGTTTGCCCGGGAATGTTCAACTTCCAATCAAAGTCGATTGGGGATACAAATTGTGTACGCAGTTTTGAACATGTGCGTTCGCAACTCTTAGTCAAAACTTCGATGCCCGGCGCTGCAGTCTCCATAGGCCGCACAGTGTCGATTTTGTTGTTAATACTAAGCCGTTAATACTAAAAGGTACGCTCAATTTACTCTTTGAACGGTACGACTTAATTTTGAAAGACATTCGGAACGATCACTTCACGACGGTCTCTCTGGTGCGGGGCGCATGGTAGTACTTGCACTGGCCAACGCCATTCGGTTTCACGGAAACTGCAACCCAGACCATCGCTGTCCTTGCTTCCGAGATTGCGGGCGCGCTGGTTCAAACCTTTTGATATAATTTATTTGTTTCACTAATCGATTCTGCAAAAGAGTGAACGTTTTAGGCAAACATGGGATGGCCTCGCTCGTTTTTTAACTCATTTCGGCACACTCTATGTCCCAAGCTTATGCGACTAATCTGCCCTAAACATAAGCCAATCGATGCACCATGGTCAACAATCTATCTTCTCCAGAACATGGTGACCTTGGGTCAGGTCAAAAGTTGCCAAAATGCCCCAAAACCATCAGAAACTGGTTTGTGGGCAAGCCATTCTTGAAGCCTATGGGACCAATTGACACAAAACCTTTACCGATTGATGTGCCATGGTCCGTAACTTGTACTTATCAAAGCATAGCGACATTGGGCCGGGTCAAAGGTCTACAGAAACGCCCGAAACCACCAGTAAGTTGTTTCGCGGACAACCCCATGTGCTCGTGGGCTATGGGACTCGATTACATCTTTTAAAACATGGGGTTACCTGAAAATAATTTGCATCGGTTTTGGGTGGTTTCGATGATCTTTGACCTGACATAAAGTCGCCACGTGCTGTAATTCCAGCAATTTAGGGTTCAGGTTATCGACTATAGCGCATCCATTGGTAAAGGTTTGTGCCGATTAAGCCCATAGACGGTGAGCATGGGCTTGTCTGCAGCTAATTTTGGTGGTCTGGGGCGCTTTTGGTGACGTTTGACTTGAACCGAGGCCATCATGTTCTGGAAAAAATAGCATGCTCACCATGGCGCGTCGATCGGTGAAAGTATTGTGGAGATTTACTCTATAGGCTCGCCGCAGTGGCACTGTCTGCAAACCGGTTTTTTCCTCTTTTGTGAGTTTTTGGTGACTTTTTACGTGACCCAAGGTCACCACTTTCTAGACAGGATAGACTATTGATCAAGCGGCATGAAATGGTGAAAACATCATGTCCATTGGTTGCATGCGCTTGGAGCAAGGAGTTGTCAACAGCTTTTGTAGACCGTTTAATCACTCCAAAAACTACCTGGAACGGCTATGCAGCATAAAAAATGTCGAGACCAATTTTGTTTAAATCTGTGAGACTAGGGCCGGCCACGATCTGTTGTGAAATCGGGCACCGCATTGACAAAATGACAATATAAGTTTTGGCGTTTCTTTTGGTCCTGAAATCCTTTCTTGTTAGAGAGTCTTCCTGCAGACTACAGTCGTTTGAAATGTGTAGTGAGCAATAACATGATTAGCTGGCGTGTTTGGAGGGACATGACGCGGCTTCTCCGAACTTAATCTACGTCCTACTGATACGGACAATATTTAGTTACGGGTATTTAATGGCAGAGGTCCAGTATTAAAAGAAGACTATGAGGTTTTTTGACAATGACGAAGCACCAAAGTCATTTGTGGCGCTGCTGACGAAAATGCCGTGGGACGCGGTCTTCTTTGCGGGATTTGTAATAAGTTCAATAAATTTAACGTTGCTTATTTGTAAGACAAACAACCGGAATCATCAGGTAAGATATGGATGTTTGTTATTGCTACGTCGTGGGTCTGTCAGGTTTAGATTGGCGTTTTTGTAGCCAGGCAGACTTCGTGAAGCGAACTGTAAGGTCTGATATAAAAATTCCAGAAGCAACGTTCCATTCAAGAGGGGTTCATGGTGGTTGCCTCTGGTTTCTGCCACAATTTTTATGTTGCATTTTTTACTGACTTGTGGTGCTCTTATGCGTATATGTCAAAAGGAGGGAGCAGGGTTTCCCTCAATTAGTGTCACACTTCGGTGCGGCCGTAAGTCATGCTGAAATGTATAAAAAAGTGTAAACTGTAAGGCCAGGTGCTATTGGCTCCCTTTATTGTAAGGAGCATGCTTGTTATTACAGCATCTTAGCTCAACCAGGGGCTACACAGTTCTTCCAGGAAACCAGAGGTACAGGGTTTTGATTCCCTGCAGTACCCTCCTTCCTGCCAGGGCAAGTGGCAGGTGACTCCACATAGCCTCAGTAGCTAAGTGGGTTGTAAAGCCCCAATGACACACACACACAGATCTTACTTTGTGGAACTCATTGCAGTGAATGGATTTTTGTGCAGACTGAACACAGTATGAGCAGTGGGGTGCCCACTCAGCATGTTCAGAACATACCCAGGAATGGAAAGGGCTGAGGGGTGGCCAAAATAGATACCAAAACTTATGGGTAGTCACTAACTTAAAGTATTTGATGAAGTTTGGAGGTCTTCTTTGGGCAGACAAATATATGTGCTATGCATGACATGCACCTGCCAGTTGAGTAACATTTGCTTGGGTGGGGAGTGAATCATTGAATTTGACCCCCTGAGATCTCAGAAACTAAGAGAGCTAAAGGTGTTAAGTTGGCAGGGTGTATTGGCCTGTATGTGAACTCAGTTGTGTCCAAATGTGTGGTGCCCAAATCATAACTGTCAAGTCAAATAAGGTCAAACTCCAAATTGGTGTTCAAAGTGCCCCAGAACCTAGATGCCTGTTCTGACCAAAAAGTTACTGATACTTTTATGACTTAAGTGACCTTGTTTGAATTTTTGCAGGTCATGATGACCAAAATCAGTGCAAGACTGCTCAGAGCTTGCTTTTGAATAAGCTTACAAAGATTATGCCAGGCTGTTTGTTCCTGAAAATAAAATGTTGACCCAGGTCATTTAAGGCCAGTAACCCATCCTGACCCTTATAAAGTGTATTGAAGATGCATAATGTGGTTCCCATTGTCCATGAATTTGAAAGGAGTGACCAGAAACTCCCCCATACAAAAGCTTTAGAGTAATAAAATAAGTTGGTTTGACCTAGGCCTGACCTTCATACCTGGCCTTTGGTCAATGGACTTTGTGCTTTTCATCGTCGCATTGCCTGAGAAACCATCTCAGCGATGTGTGGCGTCATCTAACACTGTTGCTACATCAGATTGAACAGTTCCATAGAAATTGCATTTGCTGAATCCATGGCCTTACTTGGATCTGTCCGCAGGTCAACAACCGCACAAGGTATAAACCGTACAACCAGTACTGTACGATCTGATACCACGCCCTCCGCTATTTAATGTTCTACATCTATGAAAAATTTGGCACAGTTACGCCGCGCCTGTTTCGGAAACTATTGCGGAAAAACCTTCGGGGTTGAATTGAATTCCCACCCGAGCGCATGTTAACGTTCGAAGACAGTGCTCCACATTTGACGACATTGAAACACCCATCCAATGTGATTGAAAAAATATTACTTGTGGCTATTGATATATCTTTAAGTGCAAAAATCTGCCCTATATTACAAAATTTCAGTATCACCTAAACTGCTCCTCAATACATTGTCATTTGGATACATCATGACACATTTTATGATGTCATAGTCGTTGCCAGCTTGGCGGTGTCAGAATTGCTGCTGTAGCGAACGGTGTTCTCACTTGTGGTACTTCAAGCGCCTCAAGATGGCGTTGGTGTCTGTGCGTGTGTTTGTATTATAAGCGGTTACAGCGTGTGATTGGCGTTTTCTCGTGGTGTTCGTGTAGATTTGTCCGCGATTGTATGTTGTTTTTTACTTGCACTTGTATGTTCGGTTACAGCGCTGTTCTTACGTTCTTTGATTCTCATCTTCATGCCCGGCATAGCCAGCAAAACTACCCAAATGCTTGTGCTATATCTCAAAACGCGGTTTGTGCTCGATACACACAACAACAAAAAACACCAGCCTAATACTGGTTGTTACCAGGGCGCCGTCTGTCGATGCTGCGATTCGTGCTTACGTTCTCCAGACACGAATTTGGTTTGACTATGCTGTTTTGGATCTTGAACACAAGTGTGGCTATTGAGGTGGGGAATTCGTGTGACGTTTCAGTGAGGACACACGTGGGTGGGTGACTTTCAAATACGCGGCGCGAAATGGGACTGCACAAGTTCGCGCGCGTCTTAGCCCAAAGATGAGTGGCTTTGAAATCGTAAAAATGGCATGATTGTGAACGACAGAGAATGATCATGAACGTGGCTGTCTCAGTTCAAAACCCGTACATATGTGGAGCAGCCCCTTTAAGAACGCTCCCCGAAAAGAATGGTTGGAGCGTGGTTTGCACCTGAGGGCATGCTATCCATGTGATCAGGCATGTGACCTATGTGACTGACACCTGTGTCCATGAGATCGTTCATTCTGTCTTCGGTCACAGTTTGTGGGTCTTGTATCGTCGAAAGCGCTCCACATCGCTGCGACGCCAGGCTGTCAAAATCCGGTTCCGGTCTCGACTGTGTTAGTCCAGCTTTCTTGCAACTGCCAAATTTTACGTCTCAGGTGTCAGCCGTTTAGGAAAATCCCGGCTCTGGTCATATCGTAATGCTTCAAGGACATAATCATGCCAGATTACACAGTATGTACGCAAATGCTCGGAAATAAAAACCTATAGCACTGTTCACGTGCCCCTAAAGCAATCTTCAAAGAATTGTGCTTTGCGTTGCTGAAAATCTCCCGAAGCCGTGGCCAGTGGTTGCAAACATATTATCTCATAACGTGTGCGAGGGGTGCCGGTAGTGTGGTGGTTAAGGGGTCTGCGTTAACCACTGCGCGTCTGGGAAACCAGAGGTACGGGGTTCGATTCCCCGCGGTCCCCGCCCTTCCTGCCAGGGTGAGAGGCAGGCGACGCCATATAGCCTCAGCAGCTGAGTGCGTCGTAAAGCCCCAATGACATGACATGACACATGGCGTGTGCGACAGCTTGCCGGGTCCACCAAGCTGGGTGGGGCCGCCCACATGGACTTTTTCATCACTGTTAAAGTAAGACTTGCTCGTCCTGCGGTCGCGTCCGTAATTTGACCATGCCATTGCATTGAGATGTCTAGGTGTTCCACGGCTGTGACACAGGCGGATGTGCACTGATGTGTGGTGTTCACGAACGCGTATATGAATGGCGCTTCTTGAAAACCGGATGGCTTCAGGCTTGGCAAGACGTAGCAATTTTAATGAAGGAAGCCCAATATTTGGAATGGCCTAGTGACCTGTATGCCTATGTACGTTTTCTCTCCCCAATCTGTCTCGGTTTAGGCTGTGGCCTGTTGAATTCGAGGCTGGGCTCGGGAAAGGCCGCCCACTGGCACACTGCTGGCATACCTTTGGGTCGAGCAGCGCTGAGATCGCCTCGTTACTTGCAGATGACACTTTCCGATTCACCTGCTCGTTTCAGTTTCACGTCTTTATCTGCTCTGGCTGTTTAGATCCAACATTGATCCCTAGAACTGCAGCCGCGGCCGGCGGGTCAGCAGCTTGCGTAAGAGAGCATTTGGTCGGTTTCACACATCGACGCCGCCTGTTTGAGTTTGATTGCCCGTTCTTCGTCCGAGAAACTGTGGCGGCTTCGCGGCGCTGCGACGTCGAGTTGTCGGTTGTCAAGATCAAGATCGGCGCTGCGACGTCGGGTTGTCGGTTGTCAAGATCAAGATCGACGCTGCGACGTCGGGTTGTCGGTTGTCAAGATCAAGATCGACGCTGCGACGTCGGGTTGTCGGTTGTCAAGATCAAGATCGACGCTGCGACGTCGGGTTGTCTGTTGTCAAGATCAAGATCGGCGTTGCGACGTCGGGTTGTCGGTTGTCAAGATCTGAGCCTGGTTCCGACATGTGCTACAGTGTTTCACAGTATGATGGTTATATGCTTCTTATGCCGATCAGACAGCCAGGTGAAACCATGTTGGAACTGTGATATTGATGTAAAACATGTAACAGTTTTATGGCTTTATGGGTTAAGCAAAAAAAAAAACTGGTACTCTGATCAAACGGCTGGAATGAAAATGCCTTCAAAACACATTCCACAACTTTTCACAAAACACATTCCACAAACACATTCCACAACATTCCACAAGTAATTTCCCCAACTGTTGAAAACTGAATGGAGTACTAGCAATGAAAGAAAAGATGTAAGCTCATCGGAACATGCCTGACCGGTCCGGGCCACACCGTCGAAGCTGCACGATGTCCAGTCATTTAACCTTACGGCGTAGTTGGCCTTCAGACTTCCTTGGCCTGGGGCTTTCTCATAATCAGAAGCGTGTCAATAATTATACATATCACGATGTCTAGTGAGGGGAATGACGAGTTCAGTAGTGTGTAGGCTATTTTACCGATGCATTTAGCATTTACGCTGTCCATAGTCTGAAAGGGAACCTGCTCTACCGCAGGTGATTCGCATAATGTGGCTAAATATTCTGGGGTGGGTATCATGGTTAACTCGAAAGGGTGCGTTGGTGATGGAGTTCGAGAGAAGGAGAATAGATTTTACTGATTTGGAATCAGACGCATGTCGGTATTCCTGTTCCATTCATTAGCCATATGCAGGTAGGCCGTTGAGTACCGCATTGTGGAAGTTAGTCATTGAGCTGATACGGAAATGTTTGCAATGTGCGAGGGTTTTGATATCTTGGAAGTGTATTAATCCCATTGCAACCCGAATCAACACGCTGTAGTAATTGTGCAGGCACTGCAATGCGATGTGTATTTGGTCTAGCGCAGCGTAGTTGATGCGCATTGAGCCTCTATGAGACTGAGGATTTGCTTCCTTTCTTTTAGAGCCATGCGACATACCAGGAGCCCGTGGTGAGCCTATTTGGTGAATACCACTCAGCACACCTGAAATATTCCGAGTTCGTAAGGAAAAAGAATAACACTGCTTATTTCAAGCCCATTTCGCACAGTCACTCACTATCTTGCACACAGCCACCCATCCTTATTTGTTTAAGTGAGTTGTTCCAAACAGTTTGCATGGGGCGTGGGTGACTTATGCATATTTTCGTCCTATAAATCGCGGCGAGTCTCCCCCATGGACAGCAATTATATATCCGCAATTGCACCCGTAATGCACCATACTTGAAATGTCACATGTGTGGGCCCATGCCTGTGTGCATGCGTGTGTTTTTTTTATTCAACCAGCAAACACTTATAAATGAGACAAAGGTGTAATAAATGAGATAGATGTGGACCAATTTTGAATTTTCCATTATGGATCTGTTTTCCGGTGCTGTCACTGGTGTAGACTTGCAGCACGCGGATGCACTGAATAGTATCTCGAAGACTGGCTGCATATGTTCGTACGGATGACTTAAGTATGTATAATTATCTTGAAATATCGGGAAAGGAACTGCCCACCCATCAGCGAGAGCCCACCGATGGCTAACGAACAGCACACGTAAATTGGCGTTGGTTTTGGGTCTTGCGTTAGCTCCATCTTACACCATTTCGGAGGTAAGGGGTGACCCAGTGAGGGGTATAGTAACACTGCTGCAGCCGGTCTTGACCCCGCGACCGGCCCGGCGACCCGGCCGGCCGACGGGTGTCTCGGTGGTGGGGACGCCGCTTGGTTACGGTCGTCATGCGCGGCGGCCGGGGCGCCGCGCCCGCCGCTGGACGGGCGAAAACAATCGCGGCACTGCGAGGCTGGCTCAGCTGCAGCACCCGACCAAAATACATTTCTTATACATGTATATATATATATATATATATATATATATATATATATATAAGAAATGTATTTTGGTTTAAGGGCACATGAACTACGCAGGTTATTTGCGCCCCAGAGGACATATGGTGGACGGGGAATTCATCTTCTCAATTATTTTAGGCGCAGCAGCAGCGTCTGCCATTTACCTCCATTGGTGGCGATGTTCGGTAGCGGCTGTCCACTTCCTTTGCATGCGTGAATTTTCGCCCGGACAATGCCGTGCAAAAGGTCGATATTGTCGGTTCCAAACCTATCGCAAAGTGAAGTAGATTCCAGTCATATGCACTGTACAGTGTCAGAATGTTTGCTTAGTTATTTTGAAGAACAAATTCCACACATCGGATAATATCATAGATTACGTTAGCCGTCCAATTCATTTGGTTGGGCATGGACAATATACCGTAATGACACAATGCTGCCAATGGCACCAGATTTGCCCTTCCAAACCACACCGGAAATGTACATTCCAACTACAAGAGCGTGAAAGGAATTGGCAACTGATTGTAGACGCACACCCTCACGATCACCAACGCACCGTAGCTGTTTTTTTTTTGTGTGCGCTGTCCGCGTTCTTGTCGCTGCCCTGCGTGTGCAGTGAGGCGGCCGTGCCCCGCACCTGACCGCCGCCGGCGCGCCCCGGCAGCGGGACGGGGATGGTGCGCGTGCTCCGCTGCAGTGAGGCGGCCGTGCCCCGCATCTGACCGCCGCCGGCGCGCCCCGGCAGCGGGCGGGGATGGTGCGCGTGCTCCGCTGCAGTGAGGCGGCCGTGCCCCGCACCTGACCGCCGCCGGCGCGCCCCGGCAGCGGGCGGGGATGGTGCGCGTGCTCCGCTGCAGTGAGGCGGCCGTGCCCCGCATCTGACCGCCGCCGGCGCGCCCCGGCAGCGGGCGGGGATGGTGCGCGTGCTCCGCTGTGTCCCGGGCCGCCTGGCCGAGTACGAGGTGAGCGGCGCACCGTTCAGCGTCTCGCTCTGGCTCAACCTGACGGCGCTGATCGCCGCCCTGCTCTTCTGGCTCGGCCTGCACACGCTCGACGACCGGCTGCTGGTGGCGCTGCTGGTCGGCCTGACGGCGGCACTGCTGGCCAAGCTCCACCTGAAGGTGAGGGGCGGCGGCCGGCCGCGCTCGGCGACGCGGCGGGGTGTTACAGCGGTGCGCAAGGAGGGCTGATCCTGCCGAAAATGGGCACGGGATGGGGAGAACCGGGCGGACCGTTAAGCCTCCTTGTCGTGACGTAGGAGGGCAGCCTCAGGATAGCATCGTAGTGATTCCTTGAGGAATTTTGAGATGATTTTGGCCAGCCCACTCGTTAGGACGTTTGTGCGTCTCTGGTAATGACTGGAACCCACCAACGATTACGTGCTCTCAGGATTGACTTAAAAAGCTGGGGCTTTTCCGGCAAGTCTAGCAATGAGCAAATTGCTCGTCTTGCTGGCGCCTGGGTAACGTGTTCTCCTGTATTCGTTCTGATGCGTGCTACGATTTAGCATGCCTTTTTGGGGGGATAATCCCCCATGTGGTAGTGCGTTGGGAGCATTCTGCATGTCATGAAATATGAACCGTGTGGCGTTTTCGGTGTCTTAACAGTCTCAGCGAATGTATCACGTAAACTGGAGCAGCACGCTACATTATCGCTACTCAAAGCTGTCCCTGTATCGGCTAGAATTGGCTGAGACATAATTCCCAAAGTTTGTGTGTCCGTGCTTCTCAGTGGATGGATTTAGTGGGTTCACAATCCTCTTCAAGGACTATTGAACCCATATGTCACTTGACCACCCCGCGGAGCACCACTTTAGGTACAGATTGCCGCCGCCGGAACTCGCAGCTCTCTCATCCGTTCAGCTCGATGACACGGCCAATATGGCCGCTATGACAGCTCATATTGCGCAATGCAATCGGAGAAATGGTTTGCTGTCGTATCGGTCAGGATTACTCCAATTGAATTTGCTCTTACTGCCGCCACCGGACGGATGCGAGGCCCCCGCGGGACAGGAAGGAGGCAGAAGCGTGTGCTGCACATATACGCGTGGGAGTTGTGTTGTCAGTGCCGCTGATGAATGATAGTTCAATCGATTCCATCCAAGCTTGTGTTGATTTAGTCGCATGTTGTTTTGAAACTGTGCAAATACGGATATTCCATCCAAGCTTGGGTTGATTTAGTCGCATGTTGTTTCGAAGCTGTGCAAATACGGATGCTGGAAGTGCCCAATAAAAATGGCATGATGCTGCCTCACCGATTTTATTTGGAGGATGTGTGCGTTGTGCGCGGATTGCGTTTCTTTGATGTTGTAAGGTTGATGTCGTAATTGGTTTTCACCTTTTTTGTTAGGTGCTAAATATACATCGTTTATTGCATCGGGCGGTTCCTAGTTTAGCCGCTCCAAAGGCTGTAGCGGATGCTATTGAATATTTTCATCCAAGTGATTCGACATGACATCACTTACGTGTTTCCAGTGTAAATGCTCACCTTCAGTCGCAAACTTGCTATCGTGCTGCTGATATCACTGCCGCGCTATTTCGCCACTTGTTTATGCTCGTGCCATAGTGCAATGGTAGTAGGCTATTTCACGGAGTTATTAAAATTATCCCCGGATTTTCGTGACAGCCTCATTTCACCGCGCCGTCCCTGACCCACATTGTTTTGCGCCCTCTTCGTGACCCGAGCGCTCCGGCCTTCGCAGGTGAAGCGGGAGACGCTGCTGGTCGAGTCGTCGCTGGGCGTGCAGCTGACCACGACGTTCGCCAGCGGCCGGCGCTCCTCGCTCTTCATCCGACGCGGTCGGCTCAGCGACGTGGTGATCGCCGAAGCCTTGACCATGCACCGCGTGGTGGCGTACCTGGCGATCGTGCTGCGCCACCCGCCGCGCCTCGTGCCGCTCTTCCGCCACACGTGGCCGCGCGTGGCGCAGCTACGCGACGTATACCGCGGCATTCAGCTGATCCTGCGGCCGGAGGAGGCCGCCAGGCGGTGACGGAGAGGCGAGCAGTTAACCGGACGCGCGCGGGCGCGGCGGCGGCTCGCTGAAGGGCCGTGGTGCGGGCTGACTGTGGTGCTGAGGACCGCGAGCGGATCGGAGGCGAGAGGTCCGAGACACGAGGTGATTGATTGTAGAGAACCGGCGGTTCTGCGGGTGACGAATGGGCGTGAGGCTGCACGCCGCGACAGTTGAGGCGAGCCCCCGCTTCGACTCGTGAGTCGGGTGAGACTGCTTCAGTACGGGAACAATAGTGATAAGTTATCGCAGATTTTAGACTCAGGTCGAGTGAAGAGGACTACCTGCACATCGCTAGCGATTGCAGGGGCTGATGGTGGTGGCACTGAGCTGTGATCCCCGCCTTGGGTCGCCTGCCATAGATCAGCGGACGACGCGGTAGAAGCCTCGAAACCCTGTGCTGATCTGCGCTGTCCTGTGTTCATCAGCGCGGCGTCGGTAGTCTGGACGCCAGTGAGTTTTGCGTACTCCCGCCGCCGCCCTGGCGGGGATGCCGCGGGTGCCCAGTCCGGCCGCGGGCCGCCTTTCGCCCGATAAACGGGGCGCAGCGCGTGCCCCAGCGCACCCTACCGGAGGCGTCGTCGGCAGCTGCCGCTCGTTCCGACGAAGGGCCCGGCCGATGCGCCCTCTGCCGACGAGGACTCGCGCGTCGCTGGCCAGCGCCGCCCGCCGAGGGCTCGTCCGGGCCGGCGCTGACCGAAGCCGCTGCTGTTCGTCCCTCGTCCGTTGCCGCTGCCTGGCCTGCCGGACGAGCACGTGCGCCACGTGCACAGCAACGGCCGCTACGTGGTGGCCAAGACGGCCGCGGCGACCCTGCTGGTGTGGCGACTGGACAAGGGGACGACGCTGGTTGCACAGGTACGGTGGTGCCGACGGGTTGGCGTCAAGGGCGGCCACACCTGCAGAAAAGTGGCGAGAGAGTACTTGGGGGAGGGGGCGGGGTAAATGGTGATAGAGAGGACAGCGATCAATGCGGGCGAGGCTGGTCGGGATCCCATGTAAGCGCCGTGATGACGCACGATTTTAACGCTGCCATGGAGGTCATGGTGACGGTCGCCCACGCCATGTACATGAAAAGGTGGTGCACACCTGTTTGTGCTTTGACAAGGGGTGACCTGTTAATTGAAATGGTCTCAATGCTGTATGATGCATGAGGTTTGTGCGTCATTATAACTAAATGATAAGTACTTAAGGATTCAAAATGTTTACTCAATGCCTTGTATCCTTCGGTGACCATTGTCCCATTTTCATACTCAATACTTTCTCAGTCGGTGGAGAGCCGGACGCTGCCACATCCCCGCGTGGAGTGTATGGCGCTCCAGGATGGCTCGGGGCACCTCCTCGTCACGTGCGCCCGCAACATACTTCTGTGGGACCTACGAGGCAAGTACTGCATATTTTTCACGGGGCATGTCGTGCTGCGTAGCATTACACCAACATGCTGCAGCTTATTTGGAATTCCTGGAGGCCTTGTGTGCCATCCTGCTGTTTGTTCCGATTGAGTTATATTGCAAGCTCTTCGATAAGTTTTAATGAATGTCAAACGTGTTGGATTTCGTGTTCAAAGTGTTGAAGTTTGGTTGTTTGATCTTTCGAAAGAGCCAACCAGAGCGCCCGTGATGCTCGGAGAGGACTTCTCGACGGTGGCGTGCTGCCATCTATCGTCTGGTGGCGAACCTCAGCTTGCCGACGCTGCTGCTGTTCTCTCGCTCGGCGTGGGCCAACATGTTTGGCTGCTGGATACGGACCGCGTGAAGCACCTGATGACCCTGCGAGGTCACGACAGCACGTTGACCTGCGTCCGCCTCGAGGGCACCATTTGTGCGGCCGGCAGCGAATCGGGCGAGGTCAAGGTAAGACAACCTTTTCCACCATATTGTGGGAACCACAAAACCCCATACTTACGGTCCCAGTTTCTTCTTTGGCTAGTTCATTCATCATCCCTATGCTTTTTCGGACCAGTTTAAATAAAAATGTATCATAGGATCATGCGCACATGCATTGTTTCCACAACACTGCGTCTTCACAAAACGGGCTCGTGTCTTGTTTTCGCACTAGAACGTTTAAGTGTGTTGGTTCAATTCACAGCTCCTACATCAGCCAACCTTTTGGTCTCTGGACGTTCCTGAGAGGGACTTAAGAGCGTCGTGTCTGACTCCGACCTCCCTGTCGGCCAGGTGTGGGAGACGGCTGGGCCGACCCTGCTCTACACCTCTCACGCGGTCACCCCGCGCCCTGCCGGTGACCTGGCCTTTGACCGGGTAACCGGGCTGCTGGCGGCCGGCCGCGGCTCCCAGGTGGCCGTGATGGGCGAGGTGGCCGGCCGTTGGACGGAGGTGGCCGCCGCCGAGCTGGAGAGGCCCGCCCCAGAAGGTCGGTCGGCTGCGGGGCGCGGCTGCGGGCCGCCGACCTGTACTCCGTCGCTGGTCGTCTGGCATGGCTCCCAGACGGTGCAGGGTTTTGTAGCTGGCTGTGCTGAATGTGTCGGGGTGAATAGCGTTGGCGTCAGAGCGCCCGCCGGTGCGTGGCAGGAGCCCCCATCGCCATGGGCCTCGGTGATCACCCTGGCTGTGAACTGACCCTCGAATCGGGCCCAGTGTCGCCGCCCGCTGGCTCTAGATGTCTTCTATCACTCATCTTAACTATCTGCTAGCTACGGGTTGCCGTCACTTCGTATCACTTCATAGCATAGTATGTGTTGCCCGTCATTGTAATAACCTGCTGAGTCGCTCCGTGACGTCGCCTCTCCGCCACCTGACAGCCTGCCCGGGCTCCGTGACGCCGACTGTCCCCCCGCCTGACGCTGCCCGGGCTCCGTGACGCCGACTGTCCCCCCGCCTGACGCTGCCCGGGCTCCGTGACGCCGACTGTCCCCCGCCTGACGCTGCCCGGCTCCGTGACGCCGACTTGTCCCCCCACCTGACGCCTTCCGGGCTCCGTGGACGCCGACTGTCCCCCGCCTGACGCTACCCGGGCTCCGTGACGTCGACTGTCCCCCACCTGACGCTGCCCGGGCTCTGTGACGTCGCCTCTCCGCCACCTGACGCTTGTCCGGGCTCCGTGACGCCGACTGTCCCCCCGCCTGACGCTGTCCGGGCTCTGTGACGTCGCCTCTCCGCCACCTGACGCTGCCCGGGCTCTGTGACGTCGCCTCTCCGCCACCTGACGCTGTCCGGGCTCCGTGACGCCGACTGTCCCCCACCTGACGCTGCCCGGGCTCCGTGACGCCGACTGTCCCCCACCTGACGCTGTCCGGGCTCCGTGATGCCGCCCCTCACTCCGCCTGACGCCGTCCGAGCTTCGTGACGCCGCCTCTCCGCCGCCTGACGCTGTCTGGCCGCCGCCGCCAGGCCGCAGTGCCAGTCCGCGGCCTGAGTGCGCGCTGCTGGCGCTGCTGGCGCTGCGGCGGCCCAGCGCCGCCCTGTTCGGCCCGCGCTCGCTGCTGCTGGCGGCCACCACCGACGGCCTGCGCGTCATCAGCCCGCGCACCTGGCTGCCCGTCTACTCGGCGCCCGGCACCGGTGAGCTTCGCGAGCGGCCGCCGGCCGGGCGGCCAGGCGCGGCGTCCCGGCATGGGCCGAGCGGCGCACAGATGGCGCGGGAGACTCCAACGCGTGTGGCCGGCTGTCAAACGCGGCGCGGGATTCGATACGAGTGAATGGGTTTGCCGTGAGCGAAGGCGGCGCGATCGGCCGGCTCGTCGGGTTCCGGTCAGAAGGCGTAATGGCCGGTTGGTTGGTGCGTCGGACCCCCGCGCGCTGAGCCCGGGTTCGAATCCCAGTTGCGCCATGATCCCTGAACGTTAATATGCCCAACGCAGTCGCTGGCGCTCCATAAAGGGATCGAGGTGATGCACGTCGTGTTCTCTTTAAAAAATGGCCGGTCACGTGACATCCTCGTGACATCTCGCGTGTGTGGTGTCCTCGTGCTGCCCTGGTGCCACTGTGGGACTGGTGGCCGGTGTGTGCACGCTCGCGGTTGTGACCATCAGCCGCCGTCCCGCGGCCGCAGGGCCGGAGCCGTGGGGCGGTAGTTCGCTGTCGCTGACGCCGGGCGGCGCTGCCGTCGTCTGCGGCCGGTCGGCCCTGCAGGGTCGCGTGGCCGCCTTCTCGCTGGAGGTGCTCGCGGACGTGGTGGACGATCAGCTCAGCGAGCTCTCCATCGTCTGCAGGTGTGCTGCCGTGGTCGAGACCGCCGTCTCTGTTGGGGGCTGTCTCGCGAGGACCAGCAAGTGGGGGTTGAAGGCAGCGACGGGCGGCTTGGCCGCTTGTAGTGATAAGAAAATGGAATGTCATGGGTGCAGATGGCTCGTTTTATGCCCGAGCTGATGTCCGCCTTGCCACTGTACAACGTTTGACAGCTGTCGATTGGTGGCCGTTCTTCCGGGGCCTCAAATAAAGACTCGTGCCTTTACAACCTCCAGTGCATATCATGTATAAGGGAGCAGCCAAACAAAGAAGAGCGTTACCAGTTGAGCCCTGGTTATATTATTTCTGCAATGGTCCCGACATAGTGAATCGCGTGATGGATCACGCATATCCACTGAGATTCTACTGCTCTAACCCATCCTTCCCGCGTCTCTTCTCCTCGCTGGGCCGCGGGTCAATCCCTCACCGCTGACGTGAGGCGCACCCTCAGGTCGCCGCTGCCGGTCGGCTCCGTGCTGCGTCCTCGGCCGGCGCCGGCGCCGCCGCCCCGGCCGGCGGCCCCGGCCCGGAAGGTGCGCTCCTCCGGCTACGGCTCGGCGCCGCGGCGCACCATGTTCCAGCCGCGCACCAACGCCGGCCGCGCCGCCAAGGTGGGCGCCGGGACATCACGGGGAGAGTGGCGCAAGACAGGCGCGGCTGACTGGCCATTGGCGAGGGGCGGCAACAGAGGAGCGCTAAGGGTTGGCGTGTGTGGTATGCCCAGGTTCAAGGGATGTCGGGTGAGTGTGGTGTGGGAATTGTCAATGCATCATGGCTGCTCTGTTTAGAATCGGCTCTCATTTCGGACAGAAGTGGCAGGAGACACATGATAGAGTCTCGACCGTCACAGACCGCCAGCATCGATGCATATCAAGCATCGATGCATATCACATGTAAGCTAGCTCGATGTTATCCTATAAATGTGCATTTGAAACGTCTGACACCCCAGCCCTCACCAGCCGCCACCGTCACCACGTGTAGTTCATAGACACTGCTCCCCAGCCGGGTCCGTCTCGGCTGTCCCTCTCGAACCTGCCATCGCCGGAGCAGCGACCGCCGGCGTCACGTGACCAGCCGCCGGCGCAGTGCAGCGCCACATACCGGTGTCACGTGGCGGCGCCGGTGGCCGGCCGACCGCTGAGGATCCTCCGCGAGGGCGACACCCTGCTGAGGATCGCCGTCTCCGGTCAGTAGCTCCAGCCCTGCATCCGCTGTTGCGCTCGGTCATGTGGTGTTCGTTCGGGCTCAAGGGACGGTCTGGTATGGATGGCGGATTTTGAGGGCAGATAGTGGCCATTTGTTTGGATCGCGGCATTCATCCCACCTCAGAGTATCATGTGATAAGCGCTGCGCAGCGCTCGGCCATCCATTGGCCAGTG